TAATAAAGTGAAATCTGTATAATCATTTGAAATAAATTACAGGCAATGATGTAGCATACAAACTGAGTAGGTTTTCAAGATATAAATATAAATATAAAATAACATACATTCCACCTGCCGTGGCTTAGTGGCTACTTGCTGTCTCAAAAGGCAGTCCGTGGTATGTACTGTCAAGTCCTGGGTTCAATACTCTCTACTAACACCTCTAACATACTAATTTCTAACCATTGCTTTTATCACAAAAAAAAAAAAATATATATATATATATATATAATAACATAATTGATGGTTGGGAATTCATAAAACATGTTAATTAATTTAACTTGTGTTTTGTAGGCATTATCAAGTTATCTGTGTTAAACTCTTGAGTGTAGATCATCTTTTAATGACATAATCATGATGTGTTTTACTCGTATGAAAGAATTCTTCATACTGTGTGGCCCATTTCACCCGTTTTCTTTCAATATTTTCTCCAGGTATCTGATTATCTCAACCTTGAAAATATTTCATCATCTTTTTGCCTTTCCTCTAGATAGCACGTCATCAAATCTTTTAAAATAATTAGGCACACTCCTTTTTTGCACTGGAGTTAGATCGCACTTATTTAGGGATGGGCGGTGTGAACTTTTTAGTCAGCACACCTTATCATGTTGTTTTTTCCTCTCATGTAGAGGCTGCAAAAGCAAGCTCATTATCCATTACCTATTTTCATAAAAAAAAAAAAAAAAGCAAGCTCATTAGACTAGCAAAGGCAGAAGGAAAATCACAAATGATAAGCACCAAAAACTTTAGTAAAGTTCATACAATCTAAAAAGGGTTATATGTTAGCTACATACATTACATCACTATTTTCTAGCTTCTCGTCGTGACTTCTTTTTCCAAGATGGGACCGGTATGACCAGGAGATGACTTAAAAGAAAGGTGGATGAACTGTTGATGACAATGATTCTCATTTTCTACAAATGGGAAAGTGACAACTAACACCATTGAAAATGATAGCTGTTGCAAGTGGCAATGTGAT